CAAGATTTATAAAGTTCATATGTTCCTGCAGAACTTGGAATACATTTGTGGACCTAGAAAATCATTCTTGAACAACTTGTTTGAATGTCCTGCCTACATGGCTTCCAGCCATTGGAGAGGTCTTTTGACTCATTAAATATAGTAAAATCTCAAATACAGAATCTTAAACATGAGAGAGAGAGGGGCAGCATTCAGAAAGGGTGAAAAATAGGAGGAAATAAAAAATCTGGTTCAGAAAAGCTTGTTTTCTTTATTCATAGACAGTTTTTAAGACAATGTAGCATGTTTTCTATCATCAGTCTTTAAGCTGTATTAAATAAGAAGAACTGGGTTGAACAGAGTTTCTTTCTTTCTCTCACACGGTAATAATTTCTGTACATGCTTTGGAGAAAGCATTTGAGAAACACGGCCTGGATCCTTTCTTTAGCATTTTATTATCTTCGAGTAGTTTGCAAGTTAGGTACCTCCTAATTTGGGTTGCACTGTGACTGCAGGTGTAAAAAGTCAGATTAACAAGTTTTTTTTGGACATCATTAAAGCAACTTGTTTTATTTCATCAAGTAACATCTTTCACATGATGTTATACTATTAAAATTACTTTATATTTATATAATGTTAAAGATACATCATTAAAAATATGAATGGGAAAAGAACTCTTTATATGTGACTGCTATTAATTTTAAATGAATGGCCAGTAACTCTCTATTTTGCAATCCTGCCAGATTCTCCTTCCCCCACCGCTGCAAGAACGCTGACGCTGGTCGCCAAGTCTGTGCAGAATTTAGCAAATCTTGTTGAATTTGGAGCTAAGGTGAGTATAATTTTACACAAAGAGGACAATGTGGAACTGTGTTTCCAGTACATTTTTACATGTACTTGTGTAATGCATGCAAAAATCTGTTGCTGTTTTCTCATGCTGAACCTCTGACTTTTTCTCCTACCCCACTCTGACCTCGGATTTATCACTCCACTTTTCTGTGGAAGAGCACCTCAAACTCTATCTGTATTCACTGTCATACTGCTAGACATAATTAATGGTGTAAGTCAAGTGTACATATTGCACTAAAAAGCCCAAGCTTTCAATAAAGTATCAATTATAAGACTAAGAGAATGCCAGCATTAACTGGTCTATCTCAGTTCCCAGGCTGAAACATTGCTAAAAAGAACTTTGTTGATGTATGCATAATTAACATGACCGCAGGCTGGCTTTACAGTTATTTCTCTGACACACAGAACCTGGAATGTAAGAGTTAATGAAAAAAAAAAACAAGAAGGGGGACACTTATTCCTGATCATGCCTCTGAAAGTAGAGCATCTGTTCATTGCAGCCAGGTATTGAGAGACACTCATCTTAATGCAAATTCATATTGGTATCCATGTGTAAGAAAAATTCTGAATCGGAGATTCTCAATCTTCTGGATACAAGAAAATACTGAATTCTGTATTCTTTTGTCTGGTTGCACACCAGACATTAGAAATTCTCTTGAAAAAAGATAACATTATTCCAGTTTACATACTTGTTTTGCAGTGTCATTTGCCTGACTGCGCTGTGTTCCCTTCAGATGTGACAATTATCTTGGCATTACTTTGTTAATGAATGCTCTTTAAAATTACCAGGAGCCATATATGGAAGGGGTAAATCCATTCATCAAGAGCAACAAACATCGCATGATCATGTTCTTGGATGAACTTGGGGTAAGTGGTTAAAAAAATATTTATTGAAGTTACATAGCAGCATTTTAAATTAAAATTCTTTACACTTCTTATTAACTAGCTCAAAAGTGCATTAATTTTGAATCCTTATAACTGAATACATTTTTTAATGCACGTTTAGAGACTACAGATTGCTTGTCTGTTACATGGAATTAAAGCCATCAAATATCTTCCTAGACTTTATTAATTTAGTGCCTCTGTAAATGTGAGAAGCTCAAAATAGATTTTATAGCATGAGACTAGAAATTTTGGCCAGCAATACAAACATTTAAAAACATGTTTTAAACCAAAAATTTTTATGTCTAATTTGTCACATGGTTTTGACCAGAAATGGAAATTAATTTTTGGTTTAAAAATTACTAGGTTGAATCTTGGTTAGCATTGCCAAAAGTGTCACTGCATGCATTCTGTGTATTGTAGTTCACTGCTCTGGGTGAAGAACCTCTTCTACTATCCAACCTAAACCTCCTGACACAACTTCAGACCATTCTCTCAGGTCCTGTCACTGGTCACCACAGAGAAGAGATCAGTGCCTGCCCCCTCCTATTCCGCTCACGAGGAAGCTGTAACTGCAGTCAGGTCTCCCCTCAGTCTCCTCTTCTCCAGGCTGAACAGACCAAGTGACCTCAGCCCCTCCTCATAAGGCTTCTCCTCAAGGCCCTTCACCATCTTTGGTCCCCTCCTTTGGACACTTCTCTAATACCTTAATATCTTTCCTGTATTGAGGTACCCAAAACTGCCACAATATTCAAGGTGAGGCTGCCCCAATGCAGAGCAGAGCAGGACAATCCCCTCCCTTGCCCAGCTGGCAATGCTGTGCCTGATGCCCCCCAGGACACAGTTGGCTCCTGGCTGCCAGGGCACTGCTGACTCATATGCAACTTGTCATCGACCAGGACCCTCAGGTCCCTTTCCATGGCACTGCTTTCCTGCATCTCGTTCCCTGTTCTTTACCTACATCCATGGCTGCCCCATCCCAGGTGCAGAATCCAGCACTTCCCCTTGTTGAACTTCATATGGTTGGTGATTGCCCAGTGCTCTATAATACACAACAAGAAAGATGGACTGGAGATTTAGCTGGAAAGACCAAAATTGGTCTTGGCATCCTAAATCTGTGTTTTGTTCTGTTGAAGAATGTTCCCGAGCTCCCAGACACTACAGAGCACTCTCGGACTGACCTGTCCCGGGATCTAGCAGCCCTGCACGAGATCTGCGTGGCACACTCGGATGAGCTCCGGACGCTCAGCAATGAGCGAGGTGTGATGCAGGTAAGGTAACACCAGGCAGGGTTAGTAAGCACATCACAGGTACAGGTGGCATGTCCAGAGTTACTCCTCAGTACTGGGATTCTTTTGTAGTATTTCTGTAGCAGTGTCACTGATAAACATTTTAAAATACTGGCATTTCACCAGGAGGTTATTAGCTGTGAAGATAAATACTTAGTCCATAGTTTTGTTTCTTCATGCAGCAAAACCAAATTGGGGTATTTTTTTGAGTTTTCAGAGGAAGTTTTAGTTTCTAGCCTTAAACACACAAAATTACTATATCCTGACAGGCTCTCTGGGTCATTGGTTTTCAGATCTTGGTTTTTTTTCAGTTGAGAACTAAATTAGCTTTCTTTTAATACCTCATTTATCCTCGCTAGTTTGCCAGTACACTTGTACACCTGTAAACTTGGCAAACACCTGTATGCTTTCTCTGCCTCCCTTTTTTTAATTATTTTTAATATATTTAAACTACCTACTCACAGGTCTGGTGGGCAGATGCTGAAAATGCTGCTCAGGGAGGACAGTTCTGTTTCCAATAGCTAATGTGTGGTTTACTGACTCTCTCTCTACAGCATGTTCTTAAGAAGCTTTTGGCCATTACTGAACTGCTACAACAAAAGCAAAATCAGTATTCAGTGTCTAACAACATCAGGTAGCAGCCCTCTACCTGCATTCTGCATGGATCCAGCATGCCTGATATGGCAACTCAGACCAGTACCACTTTCTTCTTGCTCTTGCCAAAAACAGCACACCCTGTCACGTTCCCAGTGATGTGTGAACTATGCAAAAAGAAAACAAAGATCCTGCTGGTGAATAATTGTACCAGCAGCTTTTTTAAGCTATCTGTGCAGGACATTTGCACTTTTTTTTTCCACTTGGAAACAGTTTTCACAACCTCTGAGCCTTGGTGTAGAGTTCACCCTCCGCAGTGAAAATGCTGTGACTGTGTCTTGGACTTTGAAAATTATTTTCAGCACCTCTGATTGCCAAAGTTTTTGCTGTCTGGTTGGAAAACAATTATCAACTGACATGAGAAGAAATGTGTCATTCTGACAACCACCTATAACTGGATAACATTTCTTACTGTAATTTCTGGGTGGTGACAATAATTATGACTTTTGACTGTTTCAACCACTTTTAACTTGTATTTACAGTTTTCAGAATCTGATGTTATGGTAGGAACAATCTTTACTGTACACTTTTTATACCATACTGTTTCTCTCGCTGGAATTATGTGGAAAGAGAATATGCAGAATGGGTCTTGTCAGCTTTATTTTTTTTGATGTGCCACTGATTCAGTCTGAATAGTTCTTCCATCAAGAACTGTATATCTGGATAAATCACAATGCTTTTGTAAAATGTTTACAACAGTAAATAAATTGAATTCAGTAAATTTATTGATCATTGTATCAGACATGCATGCGTTCATTAAACCATTTTATAAAATAGGTATTGTTTGGTCTTTTGTGTACTGTAAGTCTAGCATAAATATTATTTTTATAAGTGAAAAATGAGTTTTTAAAATAAACCAAGCTGCGTATCAACTGTATGGAAACTTGCTAACTTTGGCTGCTGTGGAAATTTTTTAGTGTCTCTACATGTGGTGTACTTTAAAATGTTCACACTGTCACTTTTTCAGCATCAGTCCTCAAAACAGCATTACCTTGTCCATATGCCTTAATTTGTACATGACAAGGTGAGAAAGTAGATGTTAAAACATCCTGGGTGGGTTGAGATTTAATAAAAAGAAATTCTTCTCTCTGAGTGTGATGATGCACGGGCACAGTGCCAGGGAAGCTGGGGATGCCCTATCCCTGGAAGCCTTCAAGGCCAAGCTGGATGGGGCTTGGAGCAGCCTCATCTAGTGGAAGGTGTCCTTGCCCATGGCACTGCCACAGAGTGTTTAAAAAAATGAAAAGTAAAATGTGCTGTTGATTCAGAGGGCACTGCAGCATCACCATGTGCTACTTTTTTAGACAGTGGTCTAATAGTAGGGCATAACAGGATGCTGAGATTCAATTAAAAGACTGAGATAATCAAATAATTTTATTACATGAACGTTGTTGATACACCATTAAAACACCTACACTGCTGCTTCTCCTGTCTATCAGAACTGCTTTTTCAATTCACTGTCACATGAAATCAGAGACTTTACTTTTAGGTCTTTGCTGTAGTATGATAGTGGCTCTGCTGTGCTGACCCTGGTGTCCAGCTGAACTGCTTCCTTGAAATGAGTCCAGTGCTACAGCTGAGAGCTCCCAAGTGTTGCAAGTACTGCACTCAGCAGGCATAGATGATGCTCTCCATAGTGACAACACACCCGTTTGCAAGACCTTGGTACCACAGAAGTCTTTTTTTAGATTGTCCCATAACCCTGTGAAGTCTGTATTAAACTGCATCTGAGAGGAGTAAGTAATTAACAATCTCTCATTGTGCCGCACTTAGATCTTAACAGAGTTTTATAAAATGGATTATTTTGTGGATTGAGGTGGCTGGCTGTAGGCAGTACAACATGGTAAAAAAAAATTGTTGAGCACAGAGATGCCTGGTTAATCTAGCTGTTACATACAAAATGCAGCAAAGAAAATGAAACTGGGCAACGCCCAAAGCTGCATTTAAGTGTGTGTATTGTAAAACTGTTTATGTTTCAATGGGGTATATGAAAATGAAACAAAGTAGTGGCTGCCCTGCTCTAACACTACACTTCATGCACAGCAAACTGTTCCCGAACCACAAACGAGTGCCAGATTTCTAAAAGCAAGTATTTCTTGCTAATACTTGACCTTTCATGGATGAGGGTTTAAAGGAACCACAACTAATTTTATTTTAACAAAGTAACAGGCTTTTTTGCCAAGATAAACACTGAAAGCATAAAAACTGTATGACACAGAATATAAAGAACCTGTGGCAGGTAGGGTCACACCTGGCACCAAATTCGTTCCTGGAGGGGTAGGAGTCTATCTTCCTTTAAGGTAATGCAGAATCCACAAGATCATCATCAGTCCACTCTTCCTAATGGAAGGGAAAAACACAACACCTTGAGCAATGTGTGCATGTAGTGTCCTGTGTGTTCTTTATGGTCAGAATTTAAGAACTCACAGAAGGATTCCATGAACAGAGGAAAGACTAAAAAAATATTATAAGTTGTGGCAAGTCAGGCCTATAAACTTAAAGCTAGTTATCCATACCTACTCTTACATGGAGACAGTCATGGAGCAGCCCCTTGCAGCACCAGTCTGAGGTTTAGCTCATCCTTCTTACAGCTATGTAGAGATCTCCACCACAGCTCATACTGCAACCTCTTACTAGTATCTTGTTTTATGGCCTCATCACCTTGGAAGCTGAGTCACCTGTGCTTAACCACTACCTCTGTTCCCTCTATCTTTCAATCTGATGAGCCCTCCATACCAGTTCTGGCCTTCCTACTGATACTAACCTCCAGCTGCAAATAAATCATTTGAAACAATGTCTAGACGTAGATTAAAACTGACTGTGCACCTGTATACTACAGTCTAACGACAGGATTAATGACGCCTCGAGGTCTGAGCAGTTTGCACCCACTATATGCTTTCAAAAAGTTAAGCACATTTTTCTCTTTTAGGTCCTGGCCAGCTCAGATCTGCTCTTGCATGTGACAGTTACTCAGAACTGAAACTACACAAGTACAAACCCTTGGCAGTTCAGATATGTCAGTAATGAAAAGTCCTGAGTTTAGGACCTGTTGGAACTGCGCAAGAGCCTATCATGAAATGCTGTAGGTTACGTGAATTTATCCAATCAGGTTACTCCTTTGGAAAAAAAATTATGAATTAATAACAAGCTCCAAAAATCAAAAATGCCTCAAACCTTAGAGCATAATTAATTCAAATTAAACTGGGGCAGGGAACCAGTGAAATCTCCAGTGAAAGCTCATTTAGAGCTGTTCTCTATGTCACTCTGACAGAAAGTGAAAAGTTTTGCCAGTGCCTGGCAAAATGGAGTTGCCTGTTTCAATATGTTTTTTAAGACTGGCATTTGGAGTAAACACTAGTCAAAGGTTTTATGGCATAGTTATAAAATATGTTCAAGGTTCCACATTTTCTTAGAACATACCTTCAATGCTGGTTTTATTATAATCTTGTTTAAATAATTTTTTAGATTCTAGTTTGACACTGTAGCATCAACCTACTATGATAATCTATAATAGCAAGACTCCTTGAATTATAGAAAGACACAAATTTTGCATTTTATCCTCAGATTTTGGCAGACAACCCTCTTCAGCCTTTAGCACATTTTTCTAAATGTCATACTCAGAGTACCTTTGACTGTCAGGATGTAGTGTCTTTAGTAACAAGAGGAGTCCAGTTAAACACGGTTCTTCACACCTTCCAGAATGGACTCTCTACAATTTCCAGTCCATGTTACAAACAAAAGCTCTGGAAGGTTGTCAGATCAGATGTGAAGGACTACCTTAATTCTGTTTTCATTTGCTGAGTCACCCTCATCAGTTTATCTCCACCTTTTTTACACTTGGTCTTATAACCCAAAGTAGTAGCTACCAATCTGTAATTCATGCAAGCCTTGCTGGCAAAGTGGCTGATGTAGAAATTTAGTCCAGAATCTGACTTCTACTTTGAGCAAGAAGCCAAATAAAGTAACTAAAAATTTTCAGAGCACAAGAAACAGCAGAAAGGATGGCCTGCGTGTTCTTCCCCCTCCCTACAAAAGACTGAGATATATAAGAACACTTGCAAGCACAGGCTAGTAGGAAATCTGGCTCACTTGAAAAAAAAAAAAAAAAAGTTTGAGCAACAAGTAAAAGAGTAGTACAGATGCATAAGTTTATCTCAGTAGCTGTGTCACTTTCGTCTTGGCAGTTAAGAGTGGAAAAACAAGTACCTGTACAAAAGGTTTACTGACCTCATCCATTTTGGATTTCTTTGCAACATATTCATCATTTTCATAACCTTTCCTCTTCTTCCTAACCCAGATGAGAAGTGAAATGTTCAGGTATTTTTATAAGTTAGACTCTTTCTATTTGACCACAAGATTAGATTACGGGCACACTTGTCACATAAAAAAACTACCAAAGCCTCAACAAGCAGCTTGCTCCAAGTCCAGTGTCTACTGAAGCGAAAAGGGCAGAAAAGAAAAATCAGCAAGTTCTTTGCCCTCCATATAATTCTTAAGAAAACGTTAACCCTTTACACAATTCTTGTTTTAATCACGTGGTTTTAAAGGCCTTAGTTCTCATTGCATACAACATCAAATCACCAGACCTTAGAAGCCACCCAGGATTCCAGTTTTTTTTAATCAGCCTGCAATGCAAATCAGCACAAAAGAATGTATTTATGTATTACTGAAAGCACTATGTTGAGTTTTGGTTCTCAGCTCCCAGCAGACACTCACATAGCAAGCATGTGAACATTGTGTGCACATTTAGAGGTTTTCAATTTTCAATCATTCATATAGATAAAAAATTAATGTTCCTATACCAATAAAATCAGCAGAATTTTAACACATCGAAGATCTACTTACGGGTTTGTATTAAGTGCAAGCTCAAAGGTATGACACTTCTCTAATTTCTGTTTCAGAGCAGCAACCTCTTCAGCCCTTGGCAGTTCATATTTCTTGATGAGATTTTTCATGCCTACAATGGCAACAACACAGCTCTAAGCACATAAGTAATTTCTGCTCTGCCTTGTTGTGTTGGGTCTGCATGGCCAGGTGTTTGTAGTGGGGGGGCTACAGGGGTGGCTTCTGTGAGAAGATGCTGGAAGCTTCCCCTGTGTACAACACAGCCAGTGCCAGCCAGCTCCAGGAGGTACCTACAATTGGCCAAGGCTGAGCCCATCAGCAATGGGATAACAGATTTAAGGGAGGGGGTGAAAACCCACCTGTGCAACAGTAAGTGCTGCTGGAAAGAAGAATGAGAATATGTGAGAAGAACAGCCCTGCAGGCAGCAGGGTCAGTGAGGAAGGAGGGGAGGAGGTACTCCAGGCACCAAAAGGGATTACCCTGCTGATGAAGCTCCTGATGAGCCTATGGTGAGACAGCTGTGCCCCTGCAGCTCATGGAAGTCAACAGTATGGAGATCCACCTGCAGCCTGTGGAGGAGTCCACTCTGGAGCAGGTGGATGTGCCTGAAGGAGGCTGTGATCCTCTAGAAATATCATGCTACAGCAGGCTTCTGGCAGGGACCTGTAGACCCATGGATAGAGGAGGTTTGCTGGCAGGACTTGGACCCCATGAGGTAGCCACACTGGAGCAGTGCATTTCCAGCAGACTGCACCCCATGAAATGGTCCCATGCTGGAGCAGTTCATGAAGAAATGCAGCACATGGGAAGGACCAACGTTAGATAAGTTCATGAATGTCTCCTACAGAGGGACGCCACACCAGAGCAAGGGAAGAGTGTAAGGAGTCCTCTCCCTGAGGAGGAAGGAGTGGCAGAAACAAGCTGACTACAGTCCTCCTGTGGTGGAGGGAGAGAATTCAGGAGTGAAGCGTAGCCCAGGAAAAAGGGAGTGGCAGGGGAAAGGTCTTTGAAAATTTGGTTTTCATTTCTCATTATCCTGCTGTGACTGGCAGTTAATTAATTTTCCCCAGCTGTGTCTGTTTTGCACACAACTGTGACTGGTCAGTGACCTCTCCCTGCCCTTATCTCAGCACCCAAGCTTTTTATTATATTTTTTCTCCCCTGCCCAGCTATGGAGGTCACTGATAGAGTGGCTTTGGTTGGGTACCTGGTGTCCAGCTGGGGTCAGACCATGACAAGCTTATCAGCAGCATAGCTGCTGCTACTGCTTATCCCTCATAGCCAGGCTTGAGCAAACAGTTTTTCCTTTCTTCCCTCATTATAACTCTACTGAAACAAGTCACCAGCATCACTTCACTCTGGATTTCCTCAAGGTAAACTCTAATAATGTAGAGTTCATGTTACTGTGCTAACAAGCTTCAAAATACACAGGGGTTTTTTGCATTCAGCACTGTACCTCTGTCTTAAAAAAAGACTGGTTTCTGTCTTGTTAATAATGCAAGGAACATTTACAGCTACCTTTCAAGAAACAAGATTTTTTTCTCTATGACCAGATTTTTGTAAAAGTAATTTACAAATGCTTCACAAATTCCCTTCCAACCATCATATGTTTATGGAAGAGCTGCCTTTGGGCTAAAGCTACCTTCCAGAATAATGGAAGAGAAGACTAAGTGATCCAAGTGTTCCCTTTGATCTCAGCAATGGAAACCTGAAGACTGAATTTATTAGAAGAGAAAGGGAAGGGAACCTTAAGTTCTGTAAATTCAATTTAAATAGAATTTGTAGACCCTGATGACTTGTATGGTGCATTCACTACTCAAGTAAGCCTTGCCAAAGACTGAAGCTTCAATGCTACCACTCTCATTTTAAATGCATGCATTAGCCTAAAGCATCAAATAACTGATTACTTACTGGGAATTTCATATCCCAGCCTTTTTACTTAATTAAAAAAAGGTAATAATCAGCGGACTATATTCCCTATTAGCTAAACTATGGTAGTCTTCTTGATACTTGTAAAATATATACATACACACACACACACATATGTCTCACACTAGTGAAGCTAAGCATCTTTTGAATATGTTGATAGCTGCAAAACAGAAGTGCAGCTATCAATCATTCAGCTTACAAAAGGTACCCTCTGGTGGTAGTAGTAGTAATGTGCAGGCTTTGCCTGAAGCTGCAATTTTTAAGACACAGTGACTTGAAAAGTCATTTAATCCTGTCTTACAAAAACCATTATCTAGTTCCCAAAATAGATTTCTCACTTTTAGGTCAGGTGCTAGTCTGAAAGCATCAGGCAGGCCACTTCTCTTTTCATTTATTTCACTTGTTCATTTTCATTTGTTTAATTTGTTCATTGTGTCTCAGTGTTTTCTCCCCTTCCATCCACATGATCCATCCACACTGCCTATGTTTTACTTACCTTATGCATGCCCTGAGGTGAAGAAAACCACTTGAAGCACACCCTTCTGCCTAAAGCTTTTGTTATTTGGAAAAACTTGATTTTTTTCTTCTTTAGATACTCTTTATCATACTTTTCCGATGTTTACTTACATTTCATGTCATCTAGTAGTCTGGATAAGGTTGATCTGTTCTCTTTCAGCATAAGACTCTCTGATAAATAGCTTCAAAGAGACATAGAAGAATAAATTTTTAAAGTGCCATAATTATTTGTGGCAGTTACTATCTGTTAATAAAAAGTGTATTATTTATTATTTATATCTGCTAGAGCTTTATGATTAGACTAAGTAAGAACACTTTGGTTGTGTAAGTGCTTTAAAGTGATAAAAAAGCAAATCTGTCACTGTAAGAACTTGACAAAAGTATTCCCCAGCCATGTGAGAAACTGAAGTTCCAACACTGCAGAATTCAACATTTCTAAATAAGCCTCACAGAGCTAAGACAAATTAGGTTTAAGATTCTATGGTAACATCACACTATGGCACAGTATGACCATGGGACAAGCCAAAACTACAGAAAAGTGTTTTTCAGACTGACCAACAGACAACAGAGTTTGCAAGACAGGCCTGCTTCTTTTGGCAGCTAAAAGCCATTTCTAAATGCTGTCTTGTAAGAGCCTGTGGGTCCCTTCTTCTTCCTACTGAGATTCAAACTTCCTTTCAGTAAGAACACTAATACATGCACACACTGACTGGGTAAAACCCCAACACTCCTCACCAAGACTCACAACAACCAAGCAGTTTTATCCCTTCCATCATGGGAACGACAGGCTTTCAAAACCCTCCAGTGTTCTGTCCCACCTCTGCAGGTGCACCTGCTGACAGGTCCACAGACCCAGCACTTGCTTCCCTCGTCCAGCAGCAAAAACTCAAGTAAAATAATAAATAACAAGGTTATAACAACTGCATAGTGCAGACAGGTCACAAAGACTTGAGTTCTTCCTGAACATGCAAACGAAGTTCAGATACCTCATTTCCCATGCTATCTACAAATTATTTTAGTACTTTTATTAGTTAGTATTTTTGCAAACACGCTTTTCTGAATTTTTGCACTAGCAGTAGAGAATTACAGATCTAGTAAGGAAGGAGATCAAGTTCAAGTTAAAGTAAGCACCTGAATGTTTTTATAAAATTTTGAAAGGACAGTGAACCCTGTAGATAATACTCTTTTTTTTGAACAAGAGAGATCTGAGATTCATTTAGAGGAGGTTTATTTAAAAGTAACTAGTTTATTTAAAAATAACTGTTTGCATTTTGCCTGCAGGTGTTACACTCAAAATGCTCACAGGCATGTGATTATAACATGCCAGGTACAGCTCCTTACAGGAACTACCTGAGCTGTTTTTTCTGAAGAAAAGCATATGCTTTGTCTTTAAGAGAACCAAACCAAAAGAACTACACATTTCAGCAAAGGTATGGAAGTGTTTGATAATGCCTGTGCAAACACCAGTGGCTAGGGCACAGAACGGAAAGTGGGGACTGATTTAAAACAGCACCTTAGCATTAGTTTGTTTCCGTGGAAAATGAACAGTTGTACCAGCCAAACACAGCATTGAAGTTTCAGCATGCCTAGTAGCTGTCAGTTCAGTGTCATTTCAGTTGACTCTGGAACCTTAAAAATCTTACTTTTTCTTTAAGTGATTCTTAAGAAACTCAGTTGCTCCTGTATTTCCACTTTCTTCACCATAATCTTTGAGTCTGAAAATCCTATACTGTTCTAACTGAGGCAAAGTCATCAGGTTTCTTTTTTTTGTTCTTCCAAAGGCATATAATAACCAGACACCAACTAACCGCATTTATCACCTACTTTTTGAAAGCGAAACCAACAGTACTACTACAATTCTGAAACATACCTAAAGAATGTAACAGTGCTAACAATCAGTAAATACACAATTCTACTAGTTAATAATGCCTGGAGCAAAATAATTTTATACAGGAACCAAATAAACTATTTAAATCATATCTATACAAAGAAAATACTACCTTTCCATATTAATTCCTGCTCTTGAACCACTAGATAATATGGCAGTGAGAGCTATCAGTGAGGGAGTAAAGAGCAGATATGCATCTGTCAGAGCCACTCGACTGAGGAAGTCATCAGCTGTTTTCCTCAAAACTTCAGGATTTTCCAGCACTGGGTATCGAGTCTAAAAAGTAATCATTTAGGAAAGTAAGTGGCTGCTCCTCCTTCTTGTTTGTGAGCTCAGAACGCACAAAACAACAACACTTTACAAAGCTAAAAAGTAGCAGGCCTTCCTCTTTTTCCAAAAATAGCCTAAAAAGCTTAAAGACCAAAAATAAACAACCACCTTTAAGGTATTTGTTTATCACTTTAGTAATTAGATCTTTTAAGATCACAGGTACAAAAGGAAATAAAGTTTTCTAACACAACATATGACAGACTTGTATTACTTTACTACACAGAGCATGAAGCACATCAAACAGTTTTTTATTACCTTTAAATCGATTAGAAATCCCTCAAATGGCCGGTATGGATTGTGGACAATGAGATGGAAGTTCAGTTGCTGAATAAGCAGCAGTTCATATTCCAGTATTTGTTCAAGAGCTTTTTCCTGTCCAAGAGGGCTTTCTCGAAGGTTACCAACGAACTGTGCACTGGATACATTAAATTCATCTACTTTACAGGCCAAAAATGCACACGTTAGCCTTGAGGAGGGGAAAAAACCAAAAAAGCAAACAATTGACTTATGGAGCATCGATTCTTCTATCAAGAGTTCTGTTCACAAAATTTGTATCTTCAAAACACCATGTTCTGAAGACAACAAATTTTTCCAAACGGAAAGTGAAACAGACCATACTTTGTCTTTTTGGCTATTTAAGCTCTCAGATTTCCTTTCTCCTTTTTTTTCAGGTCTTCACAAATATAAAAGATTATACTTCCAATGTTCCACTTGGCAGAATAACTCAAGAAGTGTTGATAACTCACATTATTATCCGAGGATGATACTCCATCACTGAGTTATTGAGGTAAAAGCGTTTAAAATACATGCAAGCTGTTCCCTAAATTGAAAAAAATGGAGAGAGAAGAAATAAAAATGGATAAAGAAAAAATAAATACATTAGAAAAACGTCACAGATAAGGCAAGTTTGAATATATACTACAGGCATACAGGATACACTAGGGCATTAAGACACACACAAAGCCATGTCATTAAATATTTCATTTATGCCAGCATTATGACAGCCTTACAAAATCTTCTCTTTTATTTTTAGACATATTTTGCAAGACAATGCTCAAAAACCTTAAAGTATCTTCATGAGAAAAATCTGGGATTCAAATGAAATTAAAAAAGCAAAGACTGAAAAAATATTATACCAGAAGTTGCAAGCAATCCTAACTATTTGAATTTTTCAATCAGTAATTTCTGGAACATATTTATCAACATGAAAACGGGTGTTTTCCAAAATCACTGCCTGACGAGACTCTACAGGGGCCACTTCTCAAATATAAGTCTTGTTTCACAGAATGTGCCATGGCAGCTACTGCCAGCTTTCAAAGGCATCCTCAAGTGGGGCACTCTTCACCACACCTGCCAGAAGAAGGGAGGACTAACAGGGCACAAATACAAGCCATTCATCTTAATGGCTCGGCTTCAGCTGCAGGTCCCCAACGCTCCCTTCTGCAACACTCGCCTACATTCAAGGCAAGTCAGTTCAACGTATTTCTTTCTCCTTTGTAGGTTACTTAACTGCCAGTACAAACGCTGACCCAGCTTATTCTGTGGTCAGACAAGCAGTAGTGCTCGAGAACGACAACCCAAATGCAGGACTGCCTTCTTTAGCTACTGTGAGACTGCTTTACTGTATCATCGCCGTTTTATTGTAGCATCAATCGCTACCATCGACCACCGACCATTACTTTGTTTCTACCCTTTGCTAAAGGGTACAAACCACAACAGTTCAAGTCAAACAAAGCAGTCCAGTCACCCACGCAAGTGTAGGAGCCACAAGCTGAAGATCACGTTGAGAAACAACTCGTTTTGAAATGACTGCACGGCTCAGAAAACAAACAAAAAATATAAGAAGCAGGCACAGACTGCAATGCTGGAAGAGAGAAATTAGCTCTAAAGACATCCGCGGTCTCAAGAACAAGCCAAGCAAACAGTAGCAGGCGAAAGAAGGAGGGGGCCGAGGTGGACCGGTCCCAGCGCCGCTCACTCACCACCACGGACCGCGGCATCGCGGGCTTGAACACGGCGCAGAAGTCCAACAGCCGCTTCTCGTAGTACTTGCATATCGCCAGCTCTTCGTGCGGCTCCAGGAGCACCAGCTCGCCCTGCGGCACCTGAGGAGAGGCAGAGCGGCGCCTCACTCGGACTGCCCCGCCCGTTCAGCTCTCGCCCAGCGGCCCTGCTCCTCCGCCCCGCGCCCGCGTTCCCCGCCCGCCCCGCGGGTCCCGCGCACCTTCCCGGTGGCCGCGGCCCTGCCTCGAGCCCGGCGGTTCGCCTCGGCCCGGCGCCGAGACAGCTCCTCCTCGCCGCGGAAGGTCCAGTGCCGGCGCTGGGTGCTGCTGTGGAACATGGCTGCACAACATGGCTGCGCCCGCGCGCGGCCCGCCGGGAGTCGCCTCAGCGCCCGCCAAGGGAGGCGGGACCGGGAGAGTTCCTGCGGGAATGATAAGAAGCCTGGCAAAAAATCCAAACCAAACCAAATCAAAACAAAGCCAAAAGTAAAACATACAAAAAAAAAAAAAAAAACAAACCCTCAACGTGATAAACTTCTGCGGAATAGCAGCTCTCTCTATTTTTCTTTCGGTTTTAGCTGTATAAACTTGCTCCCTTAGATTCCTCCACTAGTCATTTATTCTATCCCAAAGAACCATTGCGTATAAGATCCAATTATGATTTAAGGAAGCAGCATTTCATAGCCTCTTCTTTGTGCTTCAGCCAACAAATTTTAGATATTACTGCGCTTGTACTTGAAGTGTGTGAAAAAAAGTATGTAGAGCACATGTGGACTGTCACAGGATTTGTAATTAAAATGATTCCGGGGGGAATGTAAAAGGTTCTTTTCTTAAACTACACAGAAAATAATTTTATTGCCTGTGTAGTCTAAATCTATCATTCCTTTGCCTTAAATTACAGGAATTTAACATATCCAGCTTGAAATCAGACCAAACTTCAGTTTCAAGAACCACAGATACAAAAATACCAAAATGGGTTTGTTGTCCATCTAATACTAACAGTTCCATCACGAATTAGAAATTATAAAAACCACATGTTAGAATAATGAGTGACAACGTGTCACTTCGCATCATCAGTCTTAGGGTACAACTTGTAAGAATAGGAATGACAATTCCTAAAAAGGACAAGAGCATTATACGAGATAAAGCAGGATTTCTTTTTCTTTTTAAGTCTCCATTGATTTTATACCTTTCACTATTCAGAATCTGTACTTCAAAGGCTTATGAGTTTAAGTTTTATGGATACCAACCAACTACTGACTTCACTGATTTTAGTCCTATATTAACTGGTATCATGCACCATTAGTGATTCCAAAATTCAATCTGAAAATGGAGAAAGGCAGATTTAGATAACACATTTGGAAATGTAATCATAAAATGCTTATGACAGACTTTGGCAAGCTTGTGACCCAGTTATGTGCAGAACCAAGAATTTACTGTTTCTAGTGTTTCTATTGCTTTTCTCACAGTAGCACTTTTCATCTCTTTACCCACAGCTCAATTTCAATATATTATCTCATAACCAAAGCAGTTAATAAAAAGTACAAATACTCAGTGTGATTTTTGTGCAAATAACAAAATCTACAAAGAATGGTATAGAATACATTATTAAGGAGCAGAGTAAGTATGATTTTTTTTTTTCTAAAATCAGAAAGATAACTACAAGAACTGAAAGGTTTTTTGAAAACTGAAGTCTAAACCTTTAAAACACATCAACTTAATTGTGAAATATAGAACTGTATTGGGCGAAGTATCCATAGGCAGCCATGAAATTAGAGATACACTGATTTTGCATGAGTAGCTAAATGAGTTATTAGTCATTTGCTCAATTCAGTCAAATGTGAATGTTTGCAGTCTGTCTTTTGTTCTGATTTTAAACATGACACGTGCATTGATATTTGTTCAGAATTATGCAAGTAACAAGGTAACAGAGCAAACCTTAAGATCTAATAAAAGCTATCCAGTTGCCTAGGCATTTTAAAATTTAGCCATTTCTCAGAAAAATTGTCTGAAAGTGTAAATAATATCCACCACCTAAATATGATAAACAGAGCATACTTTGCCTGCTTGTGCCGCAGAGGTCTTTTTCCTAATGTTTTTGTGACAGCTGTGGCTGCTGTAAATGTTGTGTTGTTTTTTTTTTCTCTATTTGGGGAATACAGGGAACCAGAATCTCTTGGAACATCTAGAGGAGACTGAGAAGGACCAAGAAGCACCGCACACACCACCTAAGAAGAGAAAGATACCTAAACCCCAGATGCTTCCCCTGTAGATTTTACTGTTGAAAACACTAGTAAACATTCATAAAATAATTCAACTTTGATATTGATAGTGCCCTTTTAAAAGAATATGGGGGGAAGAGGATTGTGAACACATAGCCCTTTAGTTGAGTTGTCATTCATTCAGCTAAATTAGCATAATTATTTTCCTGATTTATATTATTATTAAAATCATTATTATCATTATTATTAAGCCTAACTGCAAACTGCAGATACTAACTAGCCTAAAACATGGTAGTTTTAGAGAAGCAGTCACCCTTGTTGAAGATCCTGGAGAGAACTAAAAGCTTTAGAGGAGAAAACACATCAATTTATTACCCCATGATGTTCATATTTGCTATATTTAATGCTACTGAGAATTTATCAGTAGTCCTAAATTCAGTGTTTTAAGCATTGTGTTTTAGTCCTCACTTTTTGAATGTTTTAATATCCTAGGACTTCTTGATTTTGCAGTGTTTGGCATCAATTTTCCTAACATTGAAACTAGTTTAAATCAATTCTTACCTTTCTGGCTTGTGCTAACTAGTACTTTATTTTTATTTCATCTCACTAACAGCAGTGAGACTATTTCATCTAAGGAGCCTTTTTCTCTAGTCCCAAAATGTGCTTGTCTTTCCAAGCAGTACAAAAATGTATACATATATAGCTATAATTCACTTATATTGAATATGCAATACAAAGACATAAACTTTAAGATTCTCAGCAGAAACACAGACTTTAAATAAGCAAAAAAGGACCAAAAACCAGCAGATTAGAATTTCTGACCTTTGCAATTTTAAATATTAAGGAAAACCTTTTGCATTTAATACTGTACAACTTCAAAAGCACATTAAGTATACAGTCTCAAAAAAACAACAAATCATAGTAGCAAAACTGAAATATGCTGAGGCAGAGATGTTTGTTTATTCTTAAATTCAGGCATCCAATTCATTCAGCAGGGAGGGCTGAATTCCTACTGGGCAATCAGAATTGGACATCCCATGCGGGATGTCTATTGGAATCAGCACAAGATTTGCTTAAAGCCTAAGAGCCAAAGCTGGCTTTTGTGTAGGACAGTAGTTATTTTTGCCATTTTTTACTGATGTGTCCTGAATCAGTCACCAAGAATGTTCTGTTCCTTCCATCCCTTGTTTCTTGCTTTTCCTTCTCTATTTCTCCCTTCCCGACCTTGCTTTGATGTTCTTTGTTTTTGATTTCTTCACAACTTCATTCTTACCATCCCACTTCACTCCCAATATGTCATCTCATAAGAATATAATTAAATTATTGATACTGATGCTGAAAAGTCATCACTGGATTTTTGGATGGATGATACCCCGGAGTTAAGAAGAAACTGAGAATGTGGACTTCTGAGTCATTTATGCAACTGTATTCATAATCAGAAATTGCAGCTGTGGCATGTTTGCAAAGATTTCTTTGGAATCAAGTGTTCCTGAAGTGTACTTTAAAAGTGAGAGCACTTAGCCACTGAGGAATAAGAAAATAGCTTGAAGGCCACTTCCAACCTAGATGTGTGTTGAATACATCTGGTTTAGGTTTTTGAGCACTTCAAACACTCTCTTCAAGGTGTTAAGGAAACTTCCCTGCCCAGTCATCCAGAGGAGCCACTCTAGCAGTCACTCTCACACCACCTGAGCTGGGACCGAGGCCCCTTCACAGCTACACGTCCCATACTCACACTGACAGACAGGATTTCCTCACTGGCTCAGTCTCAGGTTTCCCATAGCAGTCTCAGGTGTCCAGATCTTTAAAATAATGTAGTTGCAGTGCAATAACTACATAACAAAATAACAGCTTGAGCTGATGCCTCCAAGGAGGAACCCCGAACAAAGGACCCCTGAGCTTTTATACCTTTACAGTCTAAGGGCAGGAAGGTCTGGGGATTGTCGGCTGCTGCTGTGTCTCTGCGTGTCCAGTCCCCTGGCTGAGCCACATGTCCCCATGCCATTTGTTGTGCAAAGAGTCAGCAGTGATCCGATTATTAGAATTATTAGAGAGATGCCCAAATTAAGGTGCAAACAAGACCATATGCCAAAGTCAATAGTATGGATTTTATTTACCAGTAAATGTGAGATGGAGAGAGATAGAAAGAAATAGGAAAAAGACAGTGGGGAGTGGGGGGTGGGAAGAGAAAGAGAGTGACAGAGACACAGAGTAAGCAGAAAGATATCACCACTCGTGGATCCTGATGGTGTCCCGTTGGTCCTCTTCTTCTGGTCTTCTTGGTGGTAGGGGTCTTGCAAAACACAGAGTTCAATGGATGAATATATGTTCAGGTATACGTGAGAATGCCTAAGCACCTCCCCTGCAGGGGGGAATTTTACACTGTCTTTTGCAACACTGTGGATCTGTTGCAACACTGTGGATCACATGCAGTCATCTGGTGGAAGGCCTCAGAAATGAGTCTGGGAGCTACAGCTGCCCCCCACTGGACCCGGCCAGTGCTGATTTTCAGCACGGCTGCTGGGTTGGCTTTCCTTGTGGATACATTTTTCTCCCCCAGCCTGATTTACTTCTTCTTAGACCTGAGATAACTGGGCAATACTTATCTTTATCTTATCTCAATTCCCATCAGCTGGCTTAGCTCATGGTACAAATTCCTGGAATCCAGGAGGCATATTTGGGAGGGGTGGACTTTGGTGGTCTCAGCTTCCTTATACAGTTTGCGAGAGTGGACAAAGTCCTTCAGTGATCTTAACAGTTATGACAATTATGACATTTAAGTGTCTTACAAAAGGCTTATGATCATGAAAAGCCAAAGTAACATGTAAAAAAATCTGAGATGCAATTTGAGATGCAGGTCTGGACCTGAATTGTACCAGAATGTAGTGCTCAGAGCTGGGGCTTTAGTTCACTTTAACATAAAGAAAAAAGGTTCTTGCAAAGGTAAGGTTTGATGTGAATTCCCCAAAATTTCAGGGTTATTTGCAGCTGGACCTTACTTCAAATTGCTACGTCATTACACAGCAATTGGAAAGTATGAAGATGAGCTGCTTTTACTAAAGATCTCTCAGTCGCATTGACTCTGTATGTACAGCCTGCAGAGATCCGTGAGCTCTCTCTCCTGTCCTAAG